CCATTGTCTTAAGCGATCCCCTTCGCAAGGCTCGAATAGGGGCTGTGTCCAGGCCTCGTCACCTCTTCCAGAGCACGATCACCTACGACGAGCTGTTGGATCGTTGGTTCACAGTCAGACATGCTGCGAGGACAAGTCGTAAGACAGCTGTCACGATTCCGTTGGGCCCGTCCATTTGCGCCATCCTTGTGATGATGACCGGTTGAGCATGTGTAGCAGGAACATGCATCGACAAGTGCGAGGTCCAGGCCGGTGCGCTGTCGCAATGTTGCAGAAAGCCGGTAGTTCGAACCATTTAGCAAGGGCTCCTTTCCACATTTAATTTCCCACACTCGCCAACCGGAAATCTCCCATGACGGCCAGCGTAGGATGAGATCAATTCCGCCACAAGTGCCAGCTCTCTGTTCTTTGTTGCGCTTGTTTGCGGTCACCCCAAGCAAATACAGTCGCTGACTTGGCTGGCTTGGAGGTGCAGCGTAGCGCAGTGAAGCGTGCGACGGATGTCGTAGCACCATAACTGGACCATCTCAGCGACGCGATTCATGTGCAGAGCAATCTGCCAGCGAGTCGTCCCTGGTTGTGCGCCAGTTGTGCATCTTGTCGAGAAGCGTTCCAGATCACAGACACTTTGGTTGAGCGGAATCTGGGCACGAGCGAATCTTTAGTGGGGCTCTCCTGGCCACCACGTGACACAAACACCTGTCAAACGCCGCTCTTCGGTCATGAGATGTCTCTATCACCTTGGGAGTTTGCTTACCAGACAAACTGAAGACCTCGAAAGGCTGATAGTGTTATTATTGGAGGCTGGCGCATACTTCCTGGATGGATTCTGCAACAAGCCATCCGACCTGCATCGTCTCTGGGCTTTGCATCCACTCGAAAGTCTCTACAGTACAGTCTCAGTCATGGTGGTTCACACGGACGCGCAGCAAGTCACATCGTCCTCTCGTTTCTCGATTTTATGCCGCGCAACCCAAGGTGAACCGCTCGCATGCTGAAAACTATGCGGGCGATGTCTTAGCGACTGCCATGTGAAGCACGACCTACGAAGAAGCTCGTTGTTATTAACGCCCAGGGCTAAACCAAATTTGGCGTAGGGCATGGGCGTCAAAAGAAACTAGCTCCTTCGTATATCACGACGTCGGAATAAGAACCAGACCTGTGCTATACGACTTGCACCTACACGGGTTGGCACACGTGGAGCTAAATACTTTCTTTGGTCTCGACGCGTGTCTTGCCCGACCATGCCAGATGCGAGGAGTAACGTTCCGCAGCCTACTCGAGCCGCTGTGCAACACCGCTACTAAGCTTGCCGAATTGACAATGTATAGAGCCCTCGCAATACGTCTTCTCTGGCGGCGGGCATCTTCGCATCTGCATGATGCGAGGTGCACGCAGGATTCACTCTTCATGATGTAGCCGTCTACGCTTTTCTCGGCACGTTTGATACTACATCTTCTCGGGAAGATAGACGTACTACAATAGTGTATTAGTAGCAATACTAATACGCAAATCGGAGCACACCATCCGCGCAAGTGTGGTTGATCTGAAGAGGGCTAGCTTTCTGGCATTAAGTCGAAGGCTTTCGATACGGGAGTTGCTTTCCCGTGAGCCTGGTCACTGACACTCATCCTCGATCCGTCACCCGGCCCAGATCCAATGCCACGGGATCGCAGTAATGCGGGCGCTGTATCCGCTCGTGCTCAGCTGTTCAAGCAACGATGTCTCCAACATGCCGTGGCACTACATCGACCGGTCTGCTGACATGCTTCCGGGTCCGTTCAGCGACGCCAACCAGATCTCACCAACTGTCAGATATCGACTGCACTAAACGTATGTTGCGTTGTTGCCTGCCAGGCTGGTATTATTTTCTCGCGTCAGTCGAGGTTGATGACTGCGAGATCTCACTGTAAGACATCGGTTTCATCCCCATTCAAGGAGGCTTTGGCTAATTATCTTGGTCACAACAAAGGCTCTTCAGACGCAAAGAGTCTGGGCCATTTTGCATCACCATAAGAAGCTGACGCATGTCCAGGTTGTGTAAAGGACATGACTGCAGATGTTTAAGCAGACCATATGCTCACCCATTTTGAAACAAGAGAAGTAAGTACTTATCGTCCAAAGCAGGTCGTTTTCTCTTCGTTGTCTGAATCCTTATCTTGTTCCTATGTCTCCGCGGAACGGGTGAAAAGGGCGGCAGTATGCCAGCGCAATCTCATAACTCTACTTTCAAGGGGTGGTGTATTTGATCACTAGTAGAGGTTCCTACCCTTCAACTCTTGCTGGGTGGAGATGTGATGCTCGAGCAAGAGCGGTAGTCTCTACCGCCATTGATGATGGGAGGCGGCCTTGATAGCATCCTGCAACTTCTGCGCTTGGCTCCAGACACATATATGTGGTTCTCATCCTCACGTATTACTTTGCGTATCGCGACCCAGCGGTGCGGCTCAAGAACTCACTTGGTGCGTCGAACGGTGAGCTGCATACACCTGGAGGTACGCGCCAGCTCCTTACTGGATGGAATAACCGGTAACAATGGCAAATCAGCCGGCGCTGCCAGCCGTGATATCCAATTGGAAAACGAGTTGGGCCGCAATAACCAGCGTACAGATTCGCGGCAGTTTGAAGGACCACACTACTATAATGATAGGTACGCCCGAAGCGCATGGTCGAGAACCCGATTGTAGTGAAAGAGATCTTCCGGAGACAACGCACGTATACAAACCTTGCGCTGTGCATGGTGTTGGATTGGAGCAGCCTGGATTTCACATCTTCAACCGATCTTGGAACTGATCACAACAGCCGCGACCCAGTTCTGGTCATCCACCGGTCATCGCTGATATAAACCAATGATTTCGGCTGCTGGCGGAGCAAGGATAAGACGAGCTCTTTCTATGGTACCCTATGCATGTTTCCTCCATGCACGCAATTGCACATCCCATTGCATCACTCCGCTCTATCTGCAGCGGTTCTGGGATCGATGATGATGATCCTAGGTATGCGCTGTGTCCAGGCTTTTTTGCATTCCATGGTCGTTGATCGCATAGAGTTGCTTTCAAGAACTGGCTATGATGGCTTCCAGCATCCTGGAGCAGTAATTACGTGATGAACTCACGTGCACGCTTAACTTGCTGACACGCTTCCAAGGCTGCGTGCGTTGACCCTGTCACAGCCCGCACCATAACCGTGCCACGCACGTGAACGAACGTTTGATGCAGGCTCATGCCTGACGCAGCTGCACGGGACCGATGCCACATGCATACGACGCATCCCACGTGCAGTCATCTTGCTCACGACCGTTGGCCTGGCCGAAAATCTTGTTAACGGGTGTGTCTAGTGTAGGGGGGCGTACCGGCATTCGGTGCGCACGGGAGCGTCCAAGGGTGGGTCGAACGGCCACGGCCCGTGATCAGTAGGCTTTAGGTACGGTCTTCGAGGTTTTGCCATGAAATACAAGGCTTTTGAGAAAAGTTGACATTTGCTTCCTGATCCGTTGTTGCGTGCGCCGGCTGTATGCGATGCAACATGGTTGGTGACTTGTCGATAACCCATGTCATCACGGAATTTAGGAAATACGAATCGAGATTGGAAGACAAGCTCTAGATCCTAAGCATGTACAAGGCCCGTTGCGGGTAGAGGTTCAGTCCCTTGAGGCAAATGCGTTATCTCAGTAGGCCAAACATGAGGCGCCCTCCGTGGGATGTCTTTCGCTTAGAAATAATGTGGCAGCTTTCCCCCACTTGTGGCGGGCAACGGTAGAGTTTGAGGGTGTGTGGTTCCCGCGATAGTCGAGTCCGACACTGAAGTGTCAAGGTTCCGGTAACACCATACCATATCTGCCGGATTAAGCGTAAGCCGCCACTGCCGCCAGCCAACGAGAGAATTGCCATCTGAGTCATGCTGCTGGTTTTCGGCATACCGAAAAATGACCCTTTCTAGAATCGGCATTGCTATCCAGTGAAGTTGAAGGAAGGCATATCGGCGTGCGGCTTAAATACCAGCTCGTGCCGTGTGGGTGTACAGCCGACCATTATCCCGCGTCGAGGCGAACCACTGTTTTGGGCCACTACATGACTATCAACCACTCGGTACGATTACTTCGGTAGGATACTGGAAGTTCATTTGGGGACGACGATTGGAGATCGGAAGATCTCTACCATGAGAAAGGAAGCTCGCTTTTGATTAACGGGTATATGGATCGAACCAACATGCAAGATTACCACGAGTCGCTTCCTGCACCGGAAGAGGTTACCAGAAGCAATGAGCGGTGTGACTCGCAGTATCAGAAAAGAAATGCGAAAGTCTGGGAGCTGCAGAAGGGTAACGCGCGTGGAAGGACATAGTACATTAGACACGAAACTTGACCGTCTTTCGACTCCTCCACCTGAACAGCTGTGATTGAAATGAGTCTGCTGTTCCCTTATACCTCTACCAAGCGCCAAACTCCAAAGGATCAAATAAAACAAAAGCTCATGCGTGGACTCCCACAGTAAGGATGGTTGATGAAAGGGCGTAAACCACATAACAAGCGCTAATGTTGAGCCCAAATGAGACGTTTCCTGCTCTCGTATGTGCTGGCCTCGATCACGAATGTACTAGCGCGACGAATGGCTGGATGGACAGGTGGTCGGGTAGTAACGGGGTATATGTCGACCAACGTGGCCAGCGGGTGGCGCGATGATGTGTGCCGAATTTCAGGCGTCCTCTGCTTTCTTCCCATTGATGGCTTTGAGCTCGACATCGCTGCCATCGCGTTAGCATTCCGCTTTGCAGCCTGTGCACTGATCCCTCGATAACAAGGTGAAAGGAACAGCATGTGAGCTGTGCGCTGTGTGGAGGAACAACACACACACTTGTAACACATAAATGAGGCGTCGCAAGCGCGCTGTAGTGTCCCAAATGACGAAGAAAATGAAGTTGGGCACCTACAAGATCAATTTGGCATTGGCCGGGATGTGTCCAGGAAAGCCACTGTTGTCCACATGGTCAGCACTTGCACCTCATGGTCTGATCAGATCTTCGAAGTCCAAAGATGCGGCGATGCCAATAGGCTGCAGACATTCGTGTTGTACAAGATTGGCGGTTGCTGCGGCATGGACGTCCAGGAGCGCGGGAGATTCGAAGAAGCATGGCTCAAACGATCTTCGGAACGTCGTCAGCCGTACTAAGTCTTGGCTCCGTCGGGCGTTCGTGTTCACGGTGGCGTGTGTACTTCCAAGGTTCGGTAACGTCCCGTCTTACTTGTTCCCGTCCCGACCATGGAATGTGCAAATTGCAAAGTCGAACTTACCGAGTGCCATATGCATAATCACTGCATCGCACGTATCATTAGTATAGTACACTCACGCGGAAGGATACGTCGTGGGGATTACGTACGATGTTATGATTAAAGTCGCCTTCTCTCCCAGCGTCATTGGAGAAGCCTCTGCGGAGCCTAAAATGCCCTCATCCCAGCCTGTGCATAAGCTTTAGCCAAATGTGCATTCAGAATTGTAGAATGCATATGCACCAAGCGAAGAGCGGGTTGGGTTGGGCATACCTTTGATGACCCGGCCGGCACCGATGGGAGTGATCAGGTCACCGCGACCTACGGAAGTATCGAATCTAAAGAACGATCAATACGGCGCTCTATTCGATGTCCAAGGCATGACTGCTGCCGGTTCGCTTACTGTCCGCCTTTGTGGTCCGGGGCATCATCGTCAAATAGCCATCCTGTCATTATTGTTAGATGTTGATCTCTGGTGAGGAATTGAGTAGCTAATCTCACCAGTGTATTCCATAGACACCTCGTCATGCTTCTTCGGGAAGTCTATGCCATTGCCAGGTCTGATCACGAGCTTTTCAACGCCCATATTGAAGGGAACGAGCATGGATAGCGTCTAGGGCGGGTTTGAAAAAGGTGAAGCTTGAAGCTTGAAGCAGGTGGCAGGTAGTGTATGTAGAGTATCCACTTCCTTTGGTACTGATTAAAGATAGCGTGTCGTTTTGAAAATCCGAAATCTGCAAAGATGGGGAAGTACGTTAGAAAGTGGGTGGACCCTAGAGTTTAATAGTGGTGCCGATGTGTAGGACCAGGAGTAGGAAGCTCCGTAGATGCTCTGACTGGAGCTCAGACTTTCATGGCTTTTACTTTGACCAAAAGCATACCAGGGTTTTGCCGCGAAGCTGTGCAACAGATTGGTCTGTTCAGATGCGTCAAGCATACTTTTTAGCCTCTTCGCATACGCACACGTTCCACCTCTTTGGCTCCAAGGTAATTGCGGGCTACGTATGGTACGACCCACAGCCGTCGGAACGTGTCTCCCGGGGAATCCTGCCCGAAGCTCAGGCCGTTTTGAAATGTCAGAAGTAAGGTTGGTCTAGCCCTTCCAAACCATTCTTCATCTGCAGCATCCCAGCTGACACGCGATGGGGGATCCACAATTGACATGGTGGAAGGTTGTACCCGTACTAAAGTTTCCCGCGACTACCGAGCGGCCTGCCAACTTCGATACGGATCTTTGTTTTGTGATAACACGGGTATAATCATGTCCGATAGTGGCTTAGCTCTCTTATCGACGGTAATAGGATGACACAAGGGTTGATTTGTAGCCGCTTTAATGGAAAGGAAGCAGGGCGGTGGCGCGCAAGAGAGTGCGGTCAAGCTTGAAGTGCGGTGACGGTCACCACGATCATGAGCCATCTAGCACCGATGTGCGCATGGCGCTGGCGCCAGAACCTTAACCTCGTCCAAGGAAGCGGAAGGCGCAAATAAGCCGGCCGTGGCCCCTACCTCATTTGGAGTCGCACGATGGAAGCAAAAAGGAAAAGCGCCTCTGACGCAGCAATATTCGGTCTTGTCGAATAACACACAGCCGCCGCATTCCTCCATGACAAAGGGCGATGCGTAAACTTTGGTACCGCAATGCATAAGGACCTGCATGACCTAGCTTTTACGCTGCTTGTGTAGGGCGCAAAAGTATCTCCTTGTAGGATCCTCTTCCAGCTCCGTGGAGGCAGGTGGCGGTCATACAGATTTGAATATGGATATGGACAGGGGTGACGTGCATACGCAACACCGTTCTCGAAAAGCAATGTTCGGTCCTTCATGGTAGATGTACCCCGCGGTTTCAAATTTCCAATCACTAATCGGCATTCTGCTCTTCCACACCTAATCGTCTCCTTCATGCTACCGCTATATCCGCATCCTTAATATACGACCAGGAGACTATCGTACCTCGTAGTTTTCACTTCCCCTGCGTCTCACGCCGGCCCAAGAACCTAGCTGTGTTTCTGCTTTCGAGTCTGTTATAGTTTGCCAATCACAGACGCGTCGGATACACACCCGGCTGCCGTACGGAGCTAGACCCACCCGAAGAACAACCGTATTTCGAGCGGTTCGTCGAGATAACCATATGCGGAACTGCTGGCTATCGTGCTTCTCGCGGCAAACGAATAATTCATTTGAACTAGAGGGACAAAGCACAAGCACAAGGGGTGCGGGGCTAAAGAGTAAATCCGATGGCCATTACACGTGGTCTTTCAACCGTGCTCCAGCCATCCCTTCTCAGATCGCGAGCCCTGTGCGCTGAGTCGGGAGCCCAACAGCGTGGTCTGGGAGCATCGTACGCTTTGCATTGGCTAGATAGAGTGCGCTTGCAGCGGCAGCTGAGTCGTGGAGAAGAGGAGCCCCCACGCATCTGGAGTGCAGTATCGTGATAGACAGCATGAGCCACAGTCGACTAGTGATGTGGACTCGCAAGTTGCATGTCACCGAACCGTCGGATGCGTTCGCTTCTATTAAATATCCGAAGGCCATGGGCACTGCATGTAGGCACCCTACCAACCGTTGACAGAAGGTGCTTGATAGTGTGGCCCCGGCATTCGGGCCCGAAACTCTCCTTGCTGAGAGTTTCAGTGGCGCTTCTAACTACCGAAGGGCTATCCATCGCGAAGAGTATATCACCCTATCTTGGCCCAGAAGGGTAATTGCGCCAGGTCGGTTACAGCAATGCTAGAGAAGCCCGCGTTGGGGAAGCGGCTGTCTTTGCGCTCACCGGCCCGGTCAGCAAAATGTATCCGGTCTATCCCTGCCTTCTGTACGAAAGCCAATAGTCGCGCATAGTTTGTACCTATCTGGTCAATCCCATGACTGTCATCAGACATGACGAAACCACCTCCCATGCTTAAGAACATCTATGACATAGGTTAGTAAGTTGACGCCGAGACCGGGCATATGGCGGTGTGACTGACCTGACATATGGGCAAGCACGGATACGGCTCGGCCAAACCTTTCCGCAGCCCTGATGAGTTCAACTCCAGTAGAGCACCATAAGAGGCTACGTATTCCAGATTGCGCTTGATCTTTTCCCAAACACCAGTCATGCCCTTGAAATCGGCATCGCGATGATCGCTAAGTAGGCGAATGAGATCGAAGTGCCCGACCACTGGCGGTCGCAGCTCTTGAAGCATTTCGTATTGAGAGTCGAAGTAATCCTCAAAGAGCCGCTCGTCTGTCCCGCCTGCCTCCTCTCGAGCTTGTTCGTACATAGCGCGGTCGTAGTCGATGGGTATGGTGTGCGTATGGTGGACAGAGCCCATGAAGAAGTCAAAAGTGCACTTGTCGAGGATGCTTTGGATGAGTTGCAGTGTAGATGGACGAATCCATTCCGTCTCGAAACCGATGAGGATCTGGATCTGGTCTGAGTACGCGTCTCTAACTCTGTGGGCTTCGACGATAAAGGCGTCGAACAGTTTCGCGAGGCTCTCTGCGGTGTGCGATTCGGATTCTTCGGGGTAGAAGTCTTCGAGAGGTCTAGGTATATGCTCCGTCAGCGCAAAGGTATGGAAACCTTTGGCTATCGCTGCCTGGATAACTTCCTCGAGTGTGTTTTGCGCATGTCCGCAGAACTGGCCAGAGTGGCTGTGATGCGAGTACGGCATTTTCGAGTAGCCGGCACACGTTCGATCTGGTACAGTGTAGATGTGTAGCGTTGTGCAGCAGATGGGCAGCACAGACTGCGAAAGTCTGTAGTAAATTGACAACGAGGAGCAATACCCCGTCAACTGGTGAAGTCGCGAAACTGTGAACTGTGTAATGACTGTAAGAGTCAGCTGTACGTTTAAAAAGATGGTCGCGCAGAGGATTCTGCGAGCTTTGTATCGGTTCTTTCCAAAATTTGGGTCATGTCATCCATCCATGGTTCCATCCGTTGAGCCTCGGAACTGTGCCTAAGCGGGCCTAGTTCACCACCGTTCTGAACCAACCGTAGACGCACACCTCAGCCTTGAAGGCCAATTGAACCCAACGCGAAGTAAGCTATCATTTTTCCAACACTCGATACAAGGGCAGTTTTGGATAGCTCAAGTCTGCCGCACAGTATATCCCACACATCATCCAAATCTATAGCCATCAAGAACGATCCCACTACCATCAACGACCCTAAAGGCCATCAATATAGCTCAACATGGCGAATACCCAGCTCCCCATCACATCACAAACCTCACCCACAATCTACTTCGGCTACGGTTCCAACCTCTGGCTCCACCAAATGAGCACCCGCTGCCCAACATCCAAATACCTAGGCGTCGCCCGCCTGCCTAACTACCATTGGATCATCAACGACCGCGGCTACGCGAACGTCGTCGAATCCCCCAAGCAAAACTCGACCTCCAAGTCTTCTTACTCTGACGTCGTATTCGGACTGGTCTACTCTCTCTTGCCAGAAGACGAAAAGAGACTAGATAAAAACGAGGGCGTACCGGTCGCATACACAAAAGAGATGCTCACGTGCGATTTCTGGCCTTCAGACACAGAGCACAAGGTTGATACTAGCAAGCATCCGGAGGAAAAAGAGTCTATGCTCGTTTATATTGATCGGAATCGTGTTACGCCGGATAAGCCGCGGGACGAGTATGTTTACAGGATGAATCAGGGGATCGCTAATGCAGTCAAGTTGGGGGTACCAGAGGGGTATGTGAGAGACGTGATGAGGCAGTACATTCCGGCTGAAGAGGATGAGGAGGGGAAGGAGGGGGAAAGGGAGAAGATGGCGGAGTTTGCCAGAGGGCAGGCGGCAGAGTTTAGGGATGAGAGTGGTGTGATGCAATGACATGTCGGTTTGGTCATCACGTCACACGCCAGGTATAGAATAGAGAAGGTATTGAATGAGTTAACAGACTAGACCACCCGAACATGAAGCAAGACATGCATCACGCGACGATACACAATGCAACGAAGCTCATGGCAACCCATGTCCAAGCAATGAAGCGGCATCAAGCTAATCACTGCCTTGGACCTCTTCTGTCGCTCGGGCTTGTGCGTCAGAGTCGTCCTACAACTCCTCACGGGCCCTGCGGTAGCTGGCCTATGAATGCAATGCATCAGTTGGGTCCTCTACAAAGAAGTCTAGTAGTCGGAAGACTGATGTCTACGCACCTCCTGTTCCACCTGCAGCTGCTCGACGACGGGAGCCAGCTCGGACAAGATGTCGTAGGCCTTCTTGTGGTATTCGAGTTGGGCGGCGATGAGTTCGGCGAGGTTGCGGAGTGGCTCGGGGGTGTCGAGGACCTAGTCGGAGGTTAGCGGGGGTCCCAGCACAAGGTGGTGTAGGGTGAGGGGTATGGTCGTACATTCTTCATGACGCCGACAGCTTCCTCAGTCTGACCGACGAACTCGTCCTCGGCCTGCTCGATCTTGGCTCTGGCGTCTTCGCTGATGTCGTCGTCCATGACGTCTTTCTTGGGAGCCTGGCCCGGCAGGGAGAAGGCAGGGCCCTTGGCATTGGCCTTGGTGGCATCGAGGCTCAACCTGGAGTTCTCGACGGCCTTGCGCGCACGTGTGGCGAACTGGATGTTGGTGTTGAGCGTGGTG